TTTTTTTTCTTTTTTGTTTTTTTTTTAATTTGTTGTTGATTGAAAAATATTTTACGAGTTGACGATACAATTTTCTGTTGTTGTTGAAAAAAAATAGTTCTGTTTCGACAAAGGTCTAAAGAAAGATAACTCATTTTTAGAAATTATTAAGGAGTGCTTAATAAATGTTCAGTAAATGGAGAAAACAATCTTGAAAACGATCTTAGAAATACAACGCGCAAAACGAAAGATAAGGACGAGGGCGACATTTCAACAAACACGAGGACATTATTATGTTATATGATATTATAAAGCATTATCATATTGAATTCCAGTCAATCGTTAGTATAAGCACATTTATATATAAGATATCTAACGACTTGTTCTTCTGTAGCTTCTTGATGTTTAAATAAAGTTATACATGCTGTTTAAAGAAGATTATATTAACTTTAATGGGACTTCAGCTTTAATGGTGTTTTAAGCACTATTTACGGCATACTACGCTACAGATACTATGCTAGTAAACTTGGCGCTTTCCATAATATGTTGCAGAGTTGTGTGTACGTTGTCGTCTATAATATATTTATCCACGCTAATTATATCATCTTGAATCCATCTATCCCATTCACGTATAAAATTATCCTCCATCAAGAGCGCCGGCAGCTTTATTTTATCGAACGATATCGGAGACTTAATCTTAGTGGAAATCCCGTGTCTTTCTGGACTAGAAAACAAATTTATTCTTACATCGTAGGACGAGAATAGAATAATGATTATCTCTTGTCTCTAATGTACGCTTACTTTCAAGGCATTTTTGCATTATAATTGAAACACATGATATGTACTGCATGTGTTTTCACGACTCTGTATGAATGTGTGCCTGATCTCATCATCAAGATCTCGTTGGCCTGGTTATACTGATCCCACTGCATTTACAAAACCAGATCAAGTGACCCTATGTGTTTACGAATTTTTTTCTATTTCCTTGAAACTAATATTGTATTGTAATGAATATTTTCATATTTTTTTACCTATTATATGTAATTGCCTTAAATTTTACTTTGAATCGCTCGAAATATCGAGTAGATTGTTATGTATTGATTCATATTAAAAAAAAAACTCACATATTTCTCAGTTTTTCAATTTGGAGAAATCTGTTAAAAGAAAAATATGCAGCAGGCACACATAGCATGCAAGAGTCTTATGTTAACACGATTGCTTTGTGCAACAGTTGAAGGGGGTCAACTAATGTTCTGGTTTTGTGTGCAGTGGGTGTCTGACGGATCTCCTACCCATAGCAGTACACCAGTGAAGATAGAAGGTGCTCTTCAGTTTGTACCGAAAAATACCAACCCAAAGGAGTTTAAACAAATACAACAGCAAGTAAGTACGAATATATTCCTGGCTGCATTTCGCATTATGTTGCCTTTGTTTTTGTTTTCTTCTCTATTCGCCAGCTTGCACAAATTAAATCTGTGTTTATATCTCTAATAGATTAAGGATTATCGACGAGCAGAAAAGATATCAGCCGGTCCACAGTCTCACATATTGGAAGGTGTGTCATGGGAAGAAGCTAAGAAAATGCAGGTATGCAGATTTAATTATTAAGTCTTCTCGATTAGATATACTCTATCTAGCACATTGACAAATCAAAAATACAAGGAACACATTTCTTTAAAATTAATAAATTCTATTGAACGATATTAGTCTAATATTGCTTTTAAAGAGCACAAAATTTACTACTGCAACGGTAGCATTTTCCTATCTATTTTTTCTAATGATGTCACTGATAATTTGCATACTCGTGTACTGTTTACAAGGACGCGACAATTAGTGGTACCGGCGAACAAGTAGTCTTAGTAGGAGCCGCTAGCAAGGGTATTATACAGCGTGGTTTTCAACACAATGCGATGGTGTACAAGACACCTTATGCCAAAAATCCATTCGACGCGGTCACGGATCAAGAACTCGATCAGTACAAGAGAGAAATCGAACGCAAGCAGAAGGGAGATCCTTGTTAGTATTATTCATAAATTTTTTTTTTTTTCCTCTGCATGCATCTATATCTGTATCCTATAATCTCGAATCACGCGTTTCACTTTTACGTTCAGACATTCAACGGAACCATTAATATTACCTATTCTGTAAATAGACGATGAATCACAATCAGAATCCGAGGCCTTGTCGTCCTTTAACATCAGTCGTGCGACGCATGAATCCAGCACTGCCAAGAGTCCTATTCAATCACCGGTTTCTGTTACTTCGGAAACGGAGGAGGAGAGTAGAGACGGTAAATTCATATTTTTTTTTTTTAATTGAACATTCACGGACTTGTGTATTTCCATACGTACCACGTTGGAGTGTGTTGAACCTGATTTTTATTTTCATTAACGAACATTCGCGTATACTCCTTTTCTACAGAACCCCGAGTATTGCGAATAGAAACGAAACAAGTGCCTGCGCCGAGTCAACCCGAAGTTGTATTAAGCGATGGTAAGTCTTTCCCCTCTTTCATCTCATCCCGAGTGAGTGTTTTCTCTATCTCAGCTTGCGCAAATTATTAACGAGTGGTTAACGGAGCGGATAGAGTTTATGTGTTACGATGAAACGTTCGCTTCGGTTCAATTCCGACTCTTGCATGGCCACAGCTCTAGCGGCAATCCAAATGATACTTGCATCTCTGCTTTCACTAAAAATTTGCCACGAATCATTAGAATACAGCATGTTTTGTATCTATTTGCAATCGTATTGAAAGATATACAATTCTGCACGAGTTAATCGGTGTTTTGTGTAAATGTTCGGTGTGTGTCGGTCTGCAAGACAAACTTACACGTCGGTATATATTTGGTGACGATCGGAGATACTATGTACGTATTACATTACCGAGTATTAATATCGAAAAACAATGACGGATCACAAGAGGCATCCTCACTGATGAACGATCGCGATTCGTATAAATATTTATTTCTGATATGCAGTGAATGATGCTACTACAGAGTACCTTAATGAGATGCGCTACAGATCGATCGAGCGGCAAAAAAACGGTTACAAAGGAGGTGAGTTTCACTCAATACTGAGAAATTCACAGTTACGTGCGGCTGAAGAAATCGTATCTAGTGACTTTTGTTGCGTAGAAATCATTTCACAAGAAAGATTTCACAAAATACGCCATATCATGGTCATATATTCGAAAGTATTAAAGTTTCTTGCACAGCAGAGGATACTTTATCTTCAGTTAAATTTTATGCACAATTTTTATCCGGTTTAATTAATCTCGTTTGATCGCAAAATGCGTTTCATCCGGTGTAAGCTACACCTTTTCCGGTATGGAATACGCTCCCCTTCCGCAATTATAACATTATATACATAGTACAAGTTTGGGCGTTTATATCCTTTTGAATTTTATCGCTAGAGATACGTACACAAATTCACCGAATTTATCATACTTTTGCTTGCAGCATGAGTTTCGAAAGCTTTCTCGTCCCTTTCCGCCACTCGAAATAACGAATGCTTGCATCAATAACCGATTGTTCCTAATAAAGCACTTTTTTATCCCACTTTCTTTTTATTTCACTGTAAAAATTTTGAAAACTGGCATGTGTTTTTTACTTGTTTCGCAGTGTGGTTTTCCATTGCTTTTTTCCTAAACGAAATTAATGCGAGTAATGAAAAAAAATATAATCAAGTCCTTATGTCTTTCCTAAAACTTTCTCTTTTTTTTTCCTTTTATATTGTAATGCATTCTATCGACGATGAGTAATAATTTTATCCGAGATAAATTACGCGCAATAATACATTTATAGCATAAATATAAAGGGATACGGCAAGAGTGAGCGTGCAGCACTTTGGCTAGCGATAGCTAAAAATGAACGCTAAAAATACCTATTTCGAGCGCAGCGTAAGCGACGAAGAAGACTCGCGAATGGCGAAGAGTATCCGGGAAGAGTGTACGTTCTCCGTTTAGCGATCATTTGTCGGATTTTTCTTTGAGACATGTTTTTGGACATCATGCTTGCAGATAGCGAACTAGGCAGCAATTGCAGCAGCGTGAGCAGCGAGAATGTGTTAACGTACTCTGGCCGGCGAGTTTCTGAGCGTCTTTACGATAGTCTTCATTTGGAGAATGTTCGAGCCTCGATAACCGCCGAGCGGCAGAAACCTGTTCTAGTAACATTACGTTCGAAAATATTTACGTCTGCTAACAGAAGTGACATCAAAAAGTCAAAATCGGCCGACGAGACTTCCGTGAAGCGCTACGAGGCGAGACGAAAATTTTTCGAAGACTTTGAACAAAAAGATTTGACGACGAAAACCGTGATGAAACCAACGAGCGATGAAGAACACAAATCCGAAGAAAATTTTGTGCTAAACTCGAATGAGAAATCGGATGTTTATCTTGTAAAGGAGTTGAACGCAAATGTGACAAACGGACATACGAAAGGACACGACGAAACGCATTCGGATAACATCGCGTTGCAGCTCGTGAAATTGGAGAATATCGTGCAACCAAATTTCGTTGAACTAGTCAATGTAAAGGAAAGAAGTGAGATTGAGAAGGTAGAAAGAGAATCTTCGAAGACTTGCGACGAGAAATTGAACAGCGACTCGGCGGAGGCCGCGAATGAGAAGCAACCAGAGCAACACGCTGCAACATCTCAATGCGATAATAGAAATAACAAGGAAGCCTCGCAACCACTGAGCGATTTATCTTCCGACAACAACGACAGACGGTTTATCGGTCATTGCGAATGTAGTGAAGATAAGGGGACATCGCTGAGTAAGGAAACGAGCGATAACGCGGCGCGCATCGAGCTGAAGAAACAAAATGTTCGATCGTGGATCGAGAGTTCCGTTTGTAAAAACGATTGGCTGAATCGCACGGAGGCCGACACGTACGAATCGTACTGCGACGATATTACAAAGATCGTCGAAAGCATCGACGTGAATATCGCCTCGTCGAGGACGGAGTTGGACGCGCTGCCCGACACGGACACCTGCGTCAAGTATAACTTGGATTCGACCAACATGAGTCTCATTTACAGCCTAACTCCGCCGGCGGTGGTCGATCAGGAGGAGAGCGGCAACGACGACACGTGGCGCGACTTGGCGGACCGCTCGTCGGAATGGCAATCCGATTCGATGAAGAGCGACAGCGACGGGGAGTTGGGCGATTACATCTGGATAGAGCCGACGACCAAGACGGATTGCGCGAAGCCCAGCGATCGTGGAAGCGAAAGCAGCTGCGAATTGGAGCATCTCGAATCCGAGAAGCACTCGGCGAGTGGATCCGACATACTCGAGTTACCGAGCCGCACGATTCGGGAATTGAAGGACATCGACGGTGAGGTCTTCCTGAACGGGATCAACGAGTCCGCGAACGAGATCATCGCCGATCTCAACGCTTCCGATGAAGCGGTGCCGTCGTCGCAGGAAGCTCTACAAGTGGCACAACACGTTATCGCCGAGATCATTGAGTCCGTTTACGACCTGCTGTACCTGGATTCGTCTATTCACGATCTTGGCGTCGTGAGAGAAGTCGTGTGCCATTTGATTGATAGTTATCGTCACGAGTACTCGCTTATAGAATCCGCCGACCCAGCATGCACATCGGAAATCTTCACAGCGGACAACAATGTCGATAATATTTGCCGGATCAAACGCTTTCTCGGAACTTTGTCGCCGGATTTCCATTCTGACAATCAAACAAAAGTGCAGGAAAAGAAGAGAACTCGGGAGTCGTCCGCGGTGATCGAATTCTGTACCATAGCGAAAAGGCTGCCGGTCGTCGCCAACGACGCTGCCTTAGAACTGAACTTCCGCGTCCTCAAAGTTCCGGCGAACAAATATGCCAGCACATTGCCGGATATTTGTCGCGTGCTCGACGAGAGCTCGGTCGACAATCGCGGTAGGATGCTCCGTAAAATGAGAGACAACGAAAGTATGGCGAAATCGGAGACGAAGTCGTGGCCGTGCGATCGATGCTGTTACTGCCGAGAGGAAGAGGATTCGAGAGAGGGATCGACAGGTCGTCTAACGCCTATAAGCGAGGAGCCGGATGAAATTCCACGCGACACTGTCGATATTGTCACAAATCCTAATCACTTCGCGAACGCCGTCGAGGAGGGTGCAGCAAACTCCGCGAAAAAGTCTGTCTCCCTCGACGACACCTACACGATCTCCGAAGTTAGTTCTGTAATCATTTCCGACACTGACGAGACGAACGATCTTGAGGAACAGCACAACATTTGGGATTCATCTGTAGACTGCATGTCGTACTCGTACGACACTAAGGAATTCATGCGCTTGGAGAAAGCTCTCACGGAAAGCTCGCAGTTGAATGTATAATCACTTGTGCTTTGTGGGTATTGCATTCTATCTGAATTTTGCGATCGCTCAAAGTGATCGTGGGAATTTAGGAGACACAGATCGACACTGTGTGACACGGTCAAACGCCGTGCTTAGATACTTGATGGAATGCGTTTGGTTCTGAACTAGACTGCTAGAGTCTGCTTATGTCTTCCCATGATATCTAGTAAGTTCATTTAAGGCAGACATGTCCAAACGCCGGCTCTGGAGCCAAAGTGGAGAGCGAGAATTTCCCCCTCTCCAGATGCTTGCCGCTCGACTGTCAGCGCGAGGTGCAGTGCGGGGAAAAGAGCCGCCGATCCCTACTATCGAAGTCTCGTGTTTCTCCCTTGCACCTCACTAACAAGTGAAAAGCCTGATCGAACAGTGAAGGAGTATAGAGTAACCCGAAACTGTTCTTACGACCTTTGTATTAAACTGGATGATCTGTTTATAAACATAACTATTTCTTTGCACGGTAGTCGGAGCGTATGTCGTGACTAGTGTGGGGAGCGCTGAGAGGGATATGATATCTCGCGCGACGTCGGAGAAAGGGAAGGCTTCTAGCGTTACTCCCCAGGCGTTGGACATGTCTGATTTAAGGGGTTACCTGCAGTCAGTAATTTTGAAAAAAATCGATTTTGAGATTTAGCTATAGCTATAGCATCCGAAGAAGCAGAAGGTTCATTATATGGTTCTGGAATAGATGATTATGTATAAGTTCCCCAAAAAAGTTTTTATTATAAAATATTTCGTAAAAAAAATTTTAAATGCGTTTTTCTCAAAACTACGATTTCAAAGTCGGTGATCACTGTAATTCAAAAATGGCTTAACCGATTGGTCTGAAATTTTTTATGCTTATTTCAGATACAATTTATGGGTCCCTGATCGTAGAATTTTTTTTTTTTTTTT